ATTTCTCATTTGAGACTGAGCAAGACACTGGGTTTCTTGCCTAAAGGAAAGAGGGAACAGAACTCCCCCTTCCTGCTCTTTTTGACCTGGCCAAGGAGAAACAGACAATTCGCCTTTCTGGATGGGGTTAGGAGGGTCTCATTCTGAGCAGACTGTAGCCAACAATAGGAGTATTTCCTAAACCCCTGGAGTTTCATTTTCTACTTTTCTACTGTGTATTTGACCCCATGCTAGTTAGTAGAATAGTAAACAAGGAACCTGTCCTTGAGGAAATCACTGTGGGGCAGAGGGAGCAGCACCAGCAGATTAGTAATTATAGTGAAGAGAGCTGTTAGACAAGCTGAAGGATACAGAAGAAACCATTCTGTCTGGAGACATCCAGGAAAGCTCTGTGGGGATCATGTGTAAGCTGGGTTTTGAAGGACATGCAGAAGTCTCTCCCCAGGAAGAAAGGGAAGAGCATCCTTGTACCCTGATGAGAAGGCATGGTGTCCGGATGATGCCATGGGAGCCAGCAGACCTCAGAGGTCCTGACTGCTCCTGGTCCTGAAAGATAATCTATCTGGATAGTCTCCCAAATGACCAGACTGACCTGCAGTTTAATTGGTTCTACTGTAGTGATCTCAATTTCTCTTTTTTATTTTACTTATTTTTTAAAGAAAAACAAAAAAGCAATAATTTATTTTTGGAGCTTTTAGTATGTCATTAGGCATTAATTAAAAACACTACAACTTCATGTTTTATAGAGGCTAGAAACGTAATTCAAAATTCCACAAAGGTATATTAAAACACTGTAGACAATTCAAGATCTCATTGACAAAGTTCATTTAAGGCGACAGTTTTGCTATTGTGTTACTGTTCCCACATGATATCATCTCTTCTCAATTTCACTTGAAGATTATGAACTTGTATTGGGTGAAAGTCGCTGTTTTTCTGAAAAGGATTAGTTTCATTCAGACATTTTCTGTGGTAATTTTTTTTTTTTTTCCTTTTGTCCTTTTTGAGACCGGCCGCACCATGCTCAGCCAGTGAGCGCTGTGAGTGCACCGGTCATCCCTATATAGGATCCGAACCTGCGGCAGGAGCGCTGCTGTGCTCCCAGCGCTGCACTCTCCCGAGTGCGCCACGGGGCTTGGCCCCTGTGGTAATTTTTTTATGTTCTTTGATCTTTTAGAGTTACTGTCTTCTCGCTAAATACCTGAAGTTTCACTTTTCTTTGAGTTTTGAACTTTTTGCTGCAGTCAACAGTGTCTTGATTCTTCTTCAGTTTGGAAATTTGTTCCCCCTGAATTTCCATTTTCTTGACTAAACGTTCTCGTTCACTTTGTGTGTCGCCACTGACTGAATGGCTTTCTGTTTCCTTCATTTTTTTCAGTAGCTCTTTTGGTGCTCCACACTCATTTGGTGCAACTTATCTTGCATTGCCATCAAAAGTTCAGACAAACTGTCAAAAATGGCAGTGGACACTTTAGAGTCAGGAAGTACAGCTTTACACTGGGAAGTTGTTCTAGCAGACTTCTAGAGACATCTAGGCTCAGTCACTTCAAGTTTCTGAAGAGTGTCTGAGCCACAATGTTGCGTCATCTGCAGGAGGTTTTACATACTTGCATTCACAGAACAGCCTGCACTGGCAAACTTTTCAGCCACAAAAGGCGGTGTTCCAAACTTTGAATAAATTTGCCGAGGTGGTCCTCTCTTTAAACATTTAGTTTTCTTTGAAGATTTCTTCTTTTCTTTGGAGTGGTTTGGATTTGAAACTGAAGACATTAAAATTTTAGTGATTTAAAATCCAGTTTGAAGCTCGGAAGCTTTATCTTGAAATGGTTTACACTGATGTTCTTCTTAAGTTTTTCCTTTAAATGTTTAATCTTGTCCTCACCAGTTTTCTGAGTTGTTGTCAGTCTAAAACACTCTTTTTCTAAGACATCAAGGTTTTCAAGTTTTGCATCAGCTTCATGTGATCTTGTTCTTTTTCCCTTTGAAGCTAAGTCTATTGTTCTAGGATCATATTCTTTTCTCTGTGTTGAGAACCATTCTCCTTGTATATTCTAGTTGCTTCTCTAGAAGAGTACAATGAGACAGGGCTGAACTTAACTGTATACCTATATATTTTTTCTGCTTTATCAGTTCCTCATGTGCCAGATTTCTCTCACTGGTTTCAATCTCCAAGGCCTTTCTATTCTGTGACACTTCTCCGGAAAGAATGTTCAGGTTATCTTCAACTCATGTTCTCTCTAGCTGTAAATGATGAATCTTTTCCTGAAGAGTTTTTAAGGATAAGAGCTAGTTTCATAGGATTCCAAATCTGACCTTTTATTCTTCAAAGAGTATTTTTCTATTTTCTGATGATGTTTTTATGATAAACCTGGGATATGACCACTTGATGATATTAACCGTCATCTTATAGCTTGCCTATTTGGGCTATGAAGCCTTTTAGGAGAGGTAACTTCTAAATTCACAGGGTGGCAATTCTGAGACGATTCATGTTGGGTGAGTGATGGGATAAACACTCTTTCTGGAGGTTTAAGATAGCTTCCTACTATACAATGCAGTAATTCAGAATCCGTTATTTGAGAAGGAGAGGAGTGATTCTGTGTAGAGTATGATGGTGGTCATTCTAATTAATCTCTGACCTAGTCCCATGGACTCATAAATGGATCCTAAGCACTTTTCTTTTGGTGACTTTCCTGTTATATACATCAATCAGACAATGCAGGAAGAGGTTCATCAGATTCTATTCCCATTCAATTTGTCAAGTTGACACTCTGTCAGCCACTAAATTTCTCTTTTTTAGTTCTTAGGTTTTTTTCCTCCTTTCCATCCTGATCTTAGGTTAGAGGTGCAACAGACTAGCTTTTTAGAGATTATTTCTTCAAGTGTTGTGCTTAACAGAGGTTCCAGTTACTGAACTGATTGCCTAATGTACAGTCTTTATGTGAGGTATTATGGGGAAAGGTCATTGTTTTTGTCCCTTTCAGTTAGGATTCAGTATAATCTGCAATGGGCAGTTTCCCTACTTTTGCACTGTTGAACAAATGGTTTGCCAAAGAAGTTAATACTCTCATAAGTAAGATTTAAAGAATACCTAATCTAATTAGGGAAAAAGTGAGGTATATGTTTCTTTGTTGTTCTTTGTGTTCTTTGTTTCTTTTTTTCCCTATTTAGCAGGTTTCGATATACTTTTAAAAATAAGTCATGTATATTCATTAAAGCAACCCTAGTAGAAGTTGTTAGTTTTTTAAGTAAGATAAGGCATGGATATATTCTCATTTTAAGAAAACAAGACAGAAGTAACTGAAATAAAAAGCACCCTGTTATCAACCAAATCTGCCTGTAGCAATCTTTTTCTATGCATTTACACATACACGTATTATATAACATGTAGTTTTGTTTTGTGCTTTTAAAAAACAGGATCAACTTAATCTGTAATTAGTTCTCTTCTTGTGATATCATGCCTTGGAGAGCTTCTTATGACAGTGCATGTATGTCTATGTCATTTTTAACGACTATATAATATTTCATATTGTGGCCATATTATGATTTATTTATTCATTTCCTCTTGGTAGATATTTAGACTGTTTGCAAGTCTTTGTTACAAGTAATGCTGTAGTAGCAGACTTTGTTCAAATCTCTTTGTGCTCATGCATGAGTTTCTTCTAATAGGGTCTCTACCAGTAAATTTTTGATTAGCACTTGAAGTCAGTGTTTATATTTGGAAATAATAAAAATATTTGCCTTTAGAAATATTCCATTTTCTTGAAATTTTCATGCCTTTTCTACATATAGTTAGGCTTGGTGAAATTTTCCATTGAGAACTTCCATGTAGCCACTTCATGGGATGGTGTCCTCAGTTTTATTATGAACTATTGCCAAAGCCCATGTCAGAAAACAGCCTTCAGAGCATAGACATAGAAGTTAGTTCTTGATTCTTTTTACTCCTTCCCATGCTGATACAAGATTAAAAGTTCTATAGCTTAGGGGCCGGCCCGGTGGCACACTGCGATAGTGCGCCGCTTGGGAAGCGCGGCGGCCCTCCCACCGAGGGTTCGGATCCCACATACAGACCGGTTCCCGCTCACTGGCTGAGCGAGGCCGCGGGAGCAACTCCGAGGGTTGCGATCCCGTTGCCGGTCCCGGTCCGGTACGGGGGCGACACTGAGGGTTGCAATCCGTTGCCGGACACGGAAAAAGACAAAAAAAAAAAAAGTTCTATAGCTTAGCCTGTATAGTCATTAAAGCAACCCTAATAAAGAATGAATACATTCACATTTTTAAAAAATTAAGACACGAGAGAAGTAGTGGGGTGTCCCCCTTGCATTCAGTAAAAAGGATATGAGGAAACTGGAGCCCCTCATTTCCTTCATTGTTCCCCATTTCTTCTATCTCTGTACCTCTCTTTCTGTGTCTCTCTTTTACTCTCTCTGTTTGAATTGTACCATTTCTCTCTGGGACTATTGCCCCAATTAAAGCCACGGAGAATCATGTGGCTATGTACAGCTACTGTTTGAGACCTCTGACCCTAGAAGGAAAGAGAAAGGAAGGGGATACACTATGGCCACCACATCCATCTGTGGCAGCCCCCAAAATGGATGTTTATGGGGTTTCAGTGTCAAGCCCTTCTATTAAAATTACTTCTCTAACATTTAAATGCTGATTTGTATTTTCTGTCCAGGATCTAACATGTTCTTAAAAGATTAAAAAAAAAATTCTTATCCTCGTATCTTTGGTCTTTTTTTCTCTCTAATTTCAATGCTTAAGTAAAAACAAGAAACAATCTAAATTATTTGAAGCTATCAGACCAGCAGGATGTCTTGGTGAAAGCCTTTGAATAAAAAGACAAGAAAGGGCCCAAATGTTCATCAGTAGGAGATGGGTTAAATATACTCAGGACATTCATGTGGTATAAAATAGAATGAAGACAGTCTCTATCTACCAATATAGAAGGATCTCCAGGATATTACTGTTAGTGGAAAAAGCAAGATGCAGAAAGTATATAGAATATGGAGATGTTTCCGTAAGCAAAGGGAAAAAGTAAGAATTTATGTTTGTATTTACTATTATTTGCATAAAGAAACAATAAGATACAAATAATGAGTAAAAGTATTTTATTTCTGGTGGAGGAAGGGGATGGGTTGTAGTAAGACTGTTTAACTTTTTATAGTGTTTTAATTTTTGAATTATGACTTATTACCTATTCAGAAATAAAAATAATTTTAAATGAAGTTTTGTACTGTTAGGTAAGGGGTGATTTAAATCTGATCTTGTTTAAGCCCACTACATATGTGACTTCACCTATCATGCTTGAGCCTAGGAACCCCTTAGGATAGGGTCAATTGCAAGACCATCTATTTTGAGGAGGAAGGGGATAATTCTATAAATACAGTCTGTATAGCAATTTAAATTCTAACTACTTTGATAGGAAATTGAAAAGGCAAATCTGTGTTTTAAACTGTTATTTCCTTAGCTTGTTAGGATTTTCTTGAATTTTTTTTTCCTCTCAAAGTAATTAAAAGTCTTAAAACATGATGGTCATGATTCCCAGTAGGAATCTTTTTTTGATGCTTTGGTGAGCATATTGAGCCTCTTATGGTCTTAAGCCTCTTTTTATTATTTGCTAAAGTTTGTGTCCTGGAGAAAGTGTGATAGTCTGGTTTTATCTTTACAGGAGCAGGAAAATTCAGATTCGAAACATCCCTCCTCACCTGCAGTGGGAGGTAAGTCCTTGTTACTTTTTAATGGGTTACCAAGACATTTTCTCCCCTTTTTAGTTCCCTTTCACATTTAGGAATAGAGGTCCTCAGACTTTTCCACAAAGCCTCTGCTCTGGATCCTATCTCTTCCTTGTTTGGTATCCTAATATATGTGGTCTGTTATGAGTTTGGGGTCATTTTTGTTCCTTTCATCATGCAGAATGTGAACTCAGATCTCTTGTGTTCTGTCTTCTTGAACACCACACCATCAGGTGTCAACAAACTGAGAAACCATTTGTGATTTTTATGTCATGATTTTGTAAAAGATTTTTATTTTTCTAAATTATGATTTGAAAAAAATCAATGGAAAACCAACAAAAATAGAATTTTTAAAAAAAATTTGAACGGATTTTTTGTTTGTTTTGAATTAGTTGCTGGGAGTAACAGTTAAAATATACTTTCAGAGTTGTAAAACTTCTTATAAGATTGCTACCTTAAAATAAGAAAAAAATAAATAGAATAAAAATAATTTGCTAAAATAAATAAATCGAAAATACAGAATATGGGGAATGGGCTAATTGCATTATTTAAAAACAAACTGCTGCGTGTTTTATGTCCCAACACAAAGGAAATCAAAATAGCATTAAAAGAAACAGAATTTTTGTCTGACGTTTTCATTACTTTTTAAAAAAACTTTTTATTATGGAAGACTTCAAACATACACATCCCATTACGTTGTAAAATAAGGCAATCCCTGGAGGAAAACTGAAGAAAGAACTGTTAAATCTTCCAAGAAGGAGAAGTGATCCTTGCACTTTATTCTACTTCTCATTTTAAGAGCAGTAAGTGCGTTCCGACCATAATGATGAAGGTGATTGTTAACAGTTACAAAGACTGAAATTCTGCTGTGTCACCTTAGTGAATAGATTACTTGGGAGCAAGTAAGCAAATGAAAGTCCCATATATTTATTCAGTTCTGTTTTTAATGGAAGAGTTGAAATATCAGTTAGATTGTTCCTATAACTGTCCTCATTTTGCTTTAATTCATTTCCTGAGGGATGTCACTGTACGGTACCATTTTTTGTGAGTATGAGCTTATCTTCCCAAACAACATTGATGCTTTCTTTTTCAGGTGTTAGATGGACTTTTGGCTCAGTATGGGACTGTGGAGAATGTGGAACAAGGTAATAGTGAGGAAATTAGCCTATTGAGTTTTGGAGAGGGATATTACCTGTTATTTCTTACAGGCTGGGTCAACTCCAGGGAGAAACAGTAAATTCATGTTTGGTTGAAATAAGCTCCCCCAGAGTGTATGTTTATCTATCTGTGTGTGAGAGATATCTATGTCTTTCTATCTGTCTGTATCTATACAGTTTATTTTTTTCAAGGACCATGATTTTCAGGCTATTTTTCTTATACTCTGCAATGTGCTCAAGCACTGGACAAGCACTGTCAGGGTAAGCTTATTTCACTTAGGAGTAATTGGATTTACACTTTGCTATTTTCTTTTTCCTGGCTAAGAAAACAAATCCCTAATGTCTTGGACTGAGTGTTTCCCAAGGAGTAGATTACACCAAGGATCCCTTGGAATACTTGTGAAAATGCAGATTCCTAGGTCTCACTATACACCTACTGAGCAAGACTGTGGGGGAAGAACTCATGAATCTGTATTTTAAACAAGCATGTCATTTTTGTGTGCATTCAAGTTTGATAACCACTGTCTTAAAAACAGTGCCGCAAATGCCCAGAAAATACTTAACTTTTCTACCTGCCACCTGCATTTTTATCTTCTAAAGCATGAAATGCTATTATTTTTTTAATGAGCTCCTGAATTCTGATGAGAAATGCTATTATTTTTAAAAGGAAAAAGGAAGGTACCTGAATATGATATCTTATGTAGCTCTTTAAGAGTCCCAGAAAAGTAGATTCTATGCTCTTGATATGACAGGCAGTAACATATAATAAAAATTATTTTTGCCTTGGCCTAGAAAGCAGAATGTAAATTCAGTCACTTATTGACTGTGAGTCCTTGAAAAAGTCACTTAACTTCACTGAGTTAGTTTCCACATGTGTAAAATGGGAAGAATAATTTCTGCCCTTCCAATATGACTGAATGTTTGTGGCACCCAAAGAGAACCTGTATAAAGTATTTGTAGACAATGAAGTTATACCTAAACTTTAGGGATGGTTAAGTTTCACTTAGGAATCATAATAGAGAACTTATTTTCTCATATGCAATCTGTTCTATTGCCAGTATAATTAATGTAGTTTTAAAGCAGTAATTATCAGATGTTCTCCGCTCCAGGAATGTTACAAATATTATTCAATTCTATGCTGCTGTGTGCCCATGCCCAACAGTGAAGGGAAATAGCTCATAGAGAAGATATGATTTACAAGGATTCTATTTCTCAATTTTTATTTCTGTCAGCATGGAAAAGAAGGCATTCTAATGATTGGATGTAGTAGGCAAGGTGGCCTTACAGACATAAACTTGTGAAAGCTACTAGCTAAGACCATGTTATATATTTAGGACAATGCTACACAATGAAGAAGTATTCCAGGGCAGTTTAAAGCTCCTAGGGTGCCTGTGTCCTGGAAACCACCCAGTTTCCAGCTGCCTCACAACTATAGGATAGAACTCTTGGGCTATTATTTTGTCCTGGTTCATGGATGATTCCTTATTCAGCAGGAACACATTTTCAGTAGAGTTTTAGGAAACTTTAGAGAGGTTTCATGTCCAGTGAAAGAAATTATTTGAATGGGGCTCAGCTCATTCCAGAATTAAAGAACTGCTTGATTTTCTGAAGACAAACGTCTTTGAAGAACAGAGAATATGACTAAGAAGTGAAAACAAAATTTGAGAATCTGGGAGTCCTAGTGGATAGCTTTATTCTGGAGGTTCAAACCCAACCCTTTCTGGGAGTCTACAGCTTCACCTGTAGCACTAGAAAGCAGCAACTGTGAAACTTCTGTAGCATTCTACTTGTCAGTACTGAGAGAGGACAGTTTTGGGCCACACATCTCCTGTTTTGCACTGTGAGGACTTCCGTGGATAAGTGTGAATTAGAGAGCAACATGAACACTCCTGGGCAAAGGCCAGGGCTAGGCTCAGTGTTTATGACATGTAGATCTCATGACAGTTCCTCCTGAGGATTATGTAACCCCCTCACTGCCCTCTCTGCTGCCCACACCCCAGTAAAGGCTGCAGCTACTTTAAAGTTGTTGGACAAACAATATTTTTAACAGTGGTCTTTAGCCTTTTGGAGGTCCCAGATCTCTTTGAGAATTTTTGGGAAATTATAAACTAGAAAAATTTTTATTTCTACAAATTTGAATCATGGGTGGGGGAGGGTATGGTTATAGAATTCCTGAAGCTCAAGCATGGATCCAAGGTTAAGAATCCCTACATTATAGGTTTTTATTATTACTTTGAAAAGCAGCTTTATCATTATTTTCTTTAATTATCTTTAACAATGTTTTTGTTAACTCCTAATCTCCCAACAGCTTAAATGTTTTAAAAGGAGGATTTGATTTAGTCACATTTGTTTTGGGAAAATAATATTTTTGGTTTGAGCCTACTGGTTTAACATAAACCAAGGTTTAAGTTAAGTTTTATGTGGCTTTTTGAATTTATTTTTAATTTTTAACTATGGAGGAAGAAGCAAACGATTATGAACCAAAATAAGCCAACTCATAAGAGTAATCCCTTATTAGCCAGTCTTCGAGTTTGTGTTCTCTCCTTCAGCCAAGTGTGTTAGAATTGTCAGTTTATTTATTTATCATGCACAGTTTACTATATTTAACTCATACAAACAGTCAAGAAGTTCAGTCAAAGAGAAACAAAATAGTAATGGTTTAGCCTTGTCAATGAGTGAAAAATTAAAATTAAAACATTTTTGTGAAATTGCAGTTACCAGAGGTTGAGGAGATGGGGGCTTGAGGAGATGATCAAAGGATACAAAATTTCAGTTAGACAGGAGGAATAAGTTGAAGACATCTGTTGTATATCATGGTAACTATAGTTAATATATTAGACACTTGAAAATTACTAAGGGTAGATTTTAAGTGTTCTCACCATAAAAAAAATAAGTATGTGAGGCAATGCATATGTTAAATAGCTTGATTTAGTCATTCCACAATATATACATATATCAAAATATTATGCTGTACACCATAAATATACATAATTCTACTTGTCAATTAAAATTTTTTAAATATATATTTAAAACACTTATTATTTTATATATTTATCCCATGACTTAAAAATAAACTTTAATCATAACAGTTAAAACTCATACCTTGATAGTGGTTCACTAAATTGATCCAAACTTCCAGGAAAGCAGTCTGAAAATATGCATTAAAAAGTGTTGTGTTCTTTTACCTAGTTTTTTTCTTCTGTAATTTTAGCCTAAAGAAGTAATTCAGAAGAACACAAAATTACATGATATTTGCAACAAAGGTGACTTTAAGCAACACTTTTTAGAATAGCATATACTGGGAACAACCCATTTGCCAACAATCAGGGAAAGGTTAAGCAAATAATGGCACATTTAACTCACTGTGATTCTATGTAGACATTATAAATGAAAAATACAAAGAAAATGTACATATAGTCATGCAAAAGTGTTCATAAAATAAGTGAAAAAGGGCCAGCCCAGTGGCGCACTGCTACAGTGTGCCGCTTGGGAGCGTGGCGGCGTTCCCACCGAGGGTTCAGATCCCACATACAGACCGGTTCCCGCTCACTGGCTGAGCGAGGTGCGGGCGCGACACCGAGGGTTGCGATCCGTTGCCGGACACAAAAAAAAAAAAAAAAGACAAAAAAAAAAAAAAAGTGAAAAATACAGCTCTGAGTTGTATATACAATTGATTGCAAATTACTATAAGTGCACATGACTAAACATAGAGATCAAATAACTATAGAGTTAGGATGATGAGGTTTTTTTGTGCATTTTTCTCTAAAATTAGTCTGCTCATATTGCGCCAGAGGGTGACATCCTTTTTTTCTATGACAATGCTTTTTGCTTCTTTCCTAGTCAACACAGACACAGAAACTGCTGTTGTTAACGTCACATATGCAACAAGAGAAGAAGCAAAAACGTAAGTGGATTTAGGCTTGTTTCCTTTTAAATTTATTTTGGTTTTATCTTTGATTTCCATTGAGTCCTATATTTATAAACCTTTTCTGAAAAGGTGCAGATCTGTGGAGCTCGATATGTATCACCTTTGACATATCCATGGAGGGCTGCAGCATCTGAGCCTCCTTTGACATATTGGTACTGCTCCAGGGCATTCCTGCACCTTTAACATGTCAGTGGAGCTCCAAGGCATTCATACCAGGATGTTGATTGTACAGAGACTCTATCTTGAAAAATATTGGGACTTGGCAGCAAAACCAAGGTGTGAGCTGTGTCTTGACATGGTCATGAATAGAAGGCACCAGCTGTGTGACACTGTGTCCCCTAGACTCTGCTTTGCCACCATGTGGGGCCACTTTTACCTAGAACTTCCTTCATGTACCATGAAGAAGAAGCACAAGCTTATTTCTATCCACACTCGTTGACATCAGGTTTTCCTCAGTGTAATATTAAAAGGGGCATCCACCTCATTAGTGACAACAGCAGCAGGGAGAATTATCTGGGGGTGGTTAATCAATAGCACCTGGTATGGGTTTGTTTGGTTTTTTTCCTACCCCCATTCTGTTCCCTGTCCCCATTCATTACTACATTGTTTCAGTAATGGTTAATTTTGAATTTAGCTATCAACTGAGATGGAATTGAGTTTTTTAAAAAATAACAAGAAGTTACTTTTTGTAGGAGGTCCTTGAAGTGCCTGTCAGGTCATCGTGGAGGTGCCATAACCTTGGTTATGCATACCAGGATTACAGTTTTATTTCTTTTTCAAGGTTTCAATACACACGAAGACATATTTAACCCATTCTCATACCACTAGTTTTCAAAAGTTAACTTTTCATTTAAAAAGGTAATAGTTCATTTGCTGTTAACTTTAGCACACCTATGTAAGCAGGAGATATATCAACAACTCACCTTTGCAGTCCTTATCCAGCTGCCTTCAGTAAATGATGTTACTCTGTTGCCATTATTGAATTCAAAATGTGCTGCTTTGTAATAAATTCACAAACCCTAAACATTAACCTAGTAAAATTGAGTTAATGATGCCAAAAACATGTGAAAAGATAGTTCCACTTCATGTATAATTTTAAAAAATATAATAGTGGGATATCATTTATTTCTATCAAATTGATAAATATCTTAAAATAACAATCTGTGTGCTTTTGAGGATTCAAGGACACAAATGCTCTCCTTAAACTTCTATGGGATAGTAAATGTTGAAACCTTCCCAGAGGGCCACTGGGCAACACATAACAATAATGTTGGAATTCTGTATACTCTCTGACCCAGTAATTCCACTAGAAATTTGTCCTGTGTGTAAAGTTGCCGTTGCAAAGATGCCCGTGGTAACACTGTATGTAATCGTAAAAGATTAGGCATAACGTAGATATCTAACAATAGAGGATCAGTTAAAAAAACTGTGGTAAATCAATAGAATGTTAAACAGCCTTTTAAAGTCATATTTAAAGACATTTAATGACATGGAAAAAACATTTAGAGCATTAACTATTTTTAAGTGTTAGAAAATATGTACAATATTAATTCATTTTTTTAAAAATAGTAATGTATTTATGTTTAAGACAGAAAATATATCGGATAGATTAGGATTTTTTATTTGTGCATATGTTTTCGAATTTTTAATAATAAATATGTATTATGATTAAAATGAGGAAAATGGGTCATAATTTTATACTGATACTTACAAAGAGTTTTTGATGAGAAGACATAGCCTTGAGTGGCGAAAGAAAGCAGAATGTAGAATTGTCTGTCAGGTCTGGTCAGGCCTGTACATTGTAATCATCTGTGTAACTGCAATCAGCAAGCTCTGAGAGGGCAGCCATGGGGTCTGCCTTGCTCACCTCTGTGTGCTCAGTGCTTGGCACAGCACCCATATAGGCATCTAGTAAACGAGAGCAAACAAACCAGTCCGCGGGAGGGTCTTTCTTGATGTTGCTCTCTGACAAAGCTTCTCCTGCCCCTGCTGCATTTCAGAGCCATCGAGAAGCTAAGCGGACATCAGTTTGAGAACTACTCCTTCAAGATTTCCTACATCCCAGATGAAGAGGTGAGCTCCCCTTCACCCCCTCAGCGAGCCCAGCGTGGGGACCACTCTTCCCGGGAGCAAGGCCACGCCCCCGGGGGCTCTTCTCAGGCCAGACAGATTGATTTCCCGCTGCGGATCCTGGTCCCCACCCAGTTTGTTGGTGCCATCATCGGAAAGGAGGGCTTGACCATAAAGAACATCACTAAGCAGACCCAGTCCCGGTACGTGCTTCCGGGGCTTCCTTTGCTTCCTTCTGAGGGGTCCCCTGCGTGCTGGTGGGTCTCAGCCACCCCCAGGTCACTATTGCTTACATCAGCAGTGGGTGGCTGTGCTGTATGGGACCGTGGCTTCTTTAAACAGGAGTACTAACAGACTAACGCCAAGCTGGGGGCTTTGATGAGCTTTCATGCTAATGGCCTAACGGTCACACCCTGGAAGGCTAAAGGTTAATAAAGAGGGTCCTGATGTCCTCACAGCCAAGGACTGTTCCCAAGAGCTTAACTAATGCTCGTGAATGCATTTATTTCTCATACAGCAGAGGTATGGGGCTCTGTGGGATCCTAGAACCTACTCATCTTAGCTCTTATCTCCTCCCCTGAGTCAGAGCCCCAGGGGTAACCATTCTCTGAGACCACCTGGGTCATCTCACAAAGAGCTTCATAAAGAAGTGGGTGAGTCACTGCTATGTCGAGCAAGAAGTAAATACACTGGCCTTAACGTTTAGTTGTCTGTTTAAGGAGAACTGATAGTAGGAGTTGTAGTGGATAGAATGACTTGTGGAGTTGTTAATTTTTGTATGTTCATAAGACCACAGCACAGTGTAATGAGGAAAGCACAGGACTTGAAAACAAAGACTCGTGTTCAAGTTTTACCACTTAATGCCTGTATGATCTTGGGGAAAAAAATTAACCTCTCTGAGCATCAATTGCTTCTTCTGTAAAAAGGAGGTTACTATCTGTTTTGCCAGGATTATTATAAGAATTAGTATAGTCAGGCAGATTGAATGAAATAATTAATACAAAAGCACTTGAATTGTAAAGCACCGAATTACTGACAAATACTAGTTATTTACATGTACTAGTGCATTTTATCCCGGTCATTCAGTGAGTATCTTGTAACCAGAAAGAGAAAATGCTATTTTCTTCAAAGTGTCTGAGTTACCTCCAAATAATAGACACTAATATAAATGAGTCCCAGAGTGCAGAATCTTAGAAATGAAGTGATGAAATAGTAGAGAGGGAAGTTATTGTCTGGTGTTCCTTTTATTTTAAAATCAGTTTGTTTTCCTCCAAGTTTGTTTTTCTGTGAAAGTGATTTTTACTTATCTGCCTTTTTGTTCAAAAAAATTATTGAAGGTCGTTTTAAAAAATGCAACAAATTTAAATAGAAGTGAGATTAGCTCTCAAAGTACATATCCATTTTTTTAGAGGTAAGCCAAAGACTTGACACTGGGCTTTCTAACAGCCAAAGTAAAAAGGGATACAATCAATTTTGTGATTTTGAAAGTTAACAAAAACAAGTAGAGCCACGACTACCCAAAGAAGTCTGATAAAGTCATCAAACTTCTGAGCCATGAGTTTTAAGAGCCTGGAAGAAGGCAGGCTGCCAATGGAAAGGAGACCAAAACTTAGAGAGACAGAGAGGGCATGCCTCTGTTTTCTATCCACACACAAATATATAAAGCTTGCTTGAATTTGGTGTTTGGGTTTGGATTAACATATGGCTTTTGAAAGCTGCAATTGGTTCAGAGACAGGCACTGTGCCGATGTTCAGGATGATCCTTCTCACTTTACTCTTCACTTCTACAATCATTTGAAAGATTACACAAAATAGTTCATTTACCAAACTGACTTCATCACCAAGTTGGCTTGGTGCCTTTGTCCCAAAGCACTACTGTAAGAACCATTCCCTTCTAAATGGAGCTGCACAGAATTAAAGTTTGGCACAAGATCCCCTGCACTGCTTCCCTCCTTCTTGGAGAATGACACTGAATTGCAAACATGCTGATGACGCTTCCTTGTCTGTGTCCTTGCTGTGCGTTGGCTGATGTGACACTTTCTTGGGACTAGGGTCCTATTCCAGATGATGTTGTACTTATGGCTTCTGATTCTTTTCCTACAGGGTAGACATCCATAGAAAGGAGAACTCCGGGGCTGCTGAGAAGCCTGTCACCATCCACGCCACCCCAGAGGGGACCTCTGAAGCATGCCGCATGATTCTTGAAATCATGCAAAAAGAGGCTGATGAGACCAAACTGTAAGTTTGCACAATGCTCAGAACACTCAACAGAGAATAAGAGTAGGTCCTCCTGCATTTAATGCAAGAAATTTTTTAAAAGCTCTAAATCTAATACTCAGTAAAGGGAGCAGGGAAGGAAGTATGTTTAAGAAACTTATTCCCAAGAAGAATAGAGTGGAAAATAGATTTTTTTTACATTTACAGTATAGCTGTTTGTTCACTCATGTGTTTCTCTTGGTGATCCTAATGCTTCCATTACCCATTGGTAGTAATTTTCTTTTCTTTTTTTCACTTTTTGGCACTGGCCGGTATGGGGATCCAAAACTTTGATCTTGGTGTTATAGCATTGATAGTGATTATTGGTAGGAATGTATAGACCTGTGCAGTCCTGTAGAACTTCTTACAATGATGGAAATATTCTATATCTGCACTGTTCAGTAAGATGGCCACTAGCCGCCTGTTGCTATTGAGTACAGACATGCTCTGCATAATGACATTTTGGTCAACGACTGACCACATGTACAATTGTGGTGTAGCCTAGGAGCAGTAGGCTATACCATATATGTATGTGGTAGGCTGTACCATCTAGGTTTGTGTAAGCACAGTCTATGATGTTTGGACAATGACGAGATCATTTAACAATGCATTTCTCAGAATGTATCCCTGTCACTAAGCAACATATGATTGTACTTGAAAGGTGACCAGTGCAGTGGAGGAACTGAACATTTTATTTAATTCTCTCTAGTTCAAATTTAAATAGCCAGGTCCATGGCTAATGGCTTTTGTATTGGACAATGTAGGTATAGAACATACATTGTCACCAAAGCCGTCATTTACTGTTCTAGAAAAGGTTTTACCCACCATACTTTTAAATCGTTTGCATTCTTAAAATTGGATTACATTTCCTTAAGTAAGAGAAACTCATTTCCAAGTTGCTACTTCACTCTTCTTCCTCTTTTTTCTTCTATCTCCCCCTATTCCTTTCTTTTATGTAATCTTTCTTAGGATTCCATAGTATAATGACTATTGTACCAAATTTAGTGGAAAATACAGTTCTTACTAAATAAACTGATTTTGTATTATAAATGAACAAATGGTAATGGAATAGACAATATAATAGTAAAAAAAGACTATGTCAGTTACGCAAAATCTGTTTGAGGGCAGTGGTGGCAGTTTTATAGAGAAAACCATAAGGGATGAATGAAATATAAAATTAATTTGGCAAATAATGTCAAACATGAGTATTCCAAAGCCAGGAAGGTGAAAGAGTCCTTAAAAAAAGAACACTGCAAATCTATTCTCAGATTTCATAAGGGACTCCAACCTCTTGAATCATGTACTCTACTTGAGGCTTTTGAGAATCCCCAAATACCATGGCTTAATTTGAAGAAGCCCCTCTCTTATCCAAGTTATTGAGAATGTTATAAATAACGTCCTCCTTGGTCCTTTGACCTACGTTCAAGCAACATACAAAATTCTGTATAGTCAAAAAGACTGATTTACAAATTGGACTTTTAAGTTTTTATGTAGAACCAAGATAGAGTTGGACTATTTTTGAAATAATTTTTTAATGTCTTCACTGTGCTAAGCACTGTGCTGCTAGGAGTTGAGGCTACAACCATGAACAAGACATAGTCCCTGCTTTAATGGAGCTTACAGTCTAGTGGGAGAGACACTCATTAATCAAATAATTACACCAATAAGTAATTAAGTGCAGCTGTGAGAAATGCTACAGTGGAAAAATGCAGTGTCCCATGACTACATGTTACTGGAGGTTTTAATCAAGGTTTTAGTGGGGGACAGGAGGGGATTTGGGGATTTCAGAGAAGGTCTACTGGTGTAGGTGACAGAGCCCTGAGTGTGGTGAGTAGGAGGTAGGACAACAAAAATCCTAAACTTTCTTTTGTTTATTTACTAAATATTTATTGAGTACCTACTATATGCCAGGCACTGTACTATGTGCCAGGAACTCAGCAATAAATAAAGCTGACAAAAATCCCTGTCTTCTGAAAGTTACATTCTAGGCTAGCTTCTACATGCATCCTGTTCATTTAGAGGCAGTAGTAATGCATCTAGATGCTTTGGGTCTCAAGTAACAGAAAATACAAGGGGCTTAAGCAATAAGAAGTGATTATTAGTCATGTAACAATAAGTCTTAAAAATAGAGTAATTCCAAGATCAGTTGAGTCATAGGCTAAAAGACCCAGGACATTTTTCTGTTTTAGTTTCCTCAGGATGTCTCATACTCCCTTGGTGACAGGATGACTGTAGTGATCATTGTGTTCCCACAGAAGAACATTTACATATTGAAAGAGATGGCATCACTTCCTTATGACTTTTAAAAAAAAACTTTTTAAAAAGTTGCGGTAAAAACCACATAATATAAAATTTACTGTCTTAACCATTTTTAAGTGTATAGTTTATTGGTGTTAATTATATTCACATTGTTGTGAATATAATTAATTTGTGAACATTTTTAACTTCAGAACTTTTTTATCTTGCAAATCTGAAACTGTACCTGTAAAACAACCTCCCTTTCCCCCCTCCCTCAGCCCCTGGTAACCAGCCTTCTACTTTGTGTTTCAATGAATTTGACTACTTTAGATTCCTCATATAAATGAAATCATACAGTATTTATCATTTTGTAGCTGGCTTATTTCACTTAGCATAATGTCCTCAAGGTTCATCCATGTTGTAGCATGGGACAGAATTTCCTTCATTTTTAAGGCTTCATAATATCTCATTGTATGTATATTGCCACACTTTGTTTATCCATTCATTCATTGGTGGACATTTTGTACTGCTTCCACTGCTTGGCTATTGTGAATAATGCTGCTATGAACATGGGTGGGCAAATATCTCTTCGAGATCCTGCTTTTACTAATTTTGGATATATACCCAGAAGGGGGATTGCTGGACCATATGGTAATTCTATTTTTAATTTTTTGATGAACTCCCATACTGTTTTCCATAGTGGTTGCTCCATTTTTTCAGTCCCACCAACAGTGCCTAAGAGTTTCAGTTTCTGCACATCCTCACCAACACTTGTTATTTTCTATTATTTTGATAACAGCTATTTTAATGGGCGTGAGATGATGTATCATTGTGGTCTTGATTTGCATTTCTCTGATGATTTGTGATACTGAGCATCTTTTCATGTTTGTTAGCCATTTGTATATCATCTTTGGAGAAATGTCTATTCAAGTTCTTTGTTCATTTTTAAATTGGTTTATGTAATTTTTTTATTGTTGAGTTGTAGGAGTTCTTTATATATTATGGATATGAACCCCTTATTACATAAATTATTTTCAGGTATTTCCCCTACTCCATAGGTTGCCTTTTCACTCTGTTGATTGTACCCTTGATGCTCAAAAGTTTTAAAGTTTGATGTACTCCTGTTTGTCTATTTTTTCTTTTGTTGCCTGTGCTTTTTGTGTCATATCCAATAAATCATTGCCATGTTTAGTATTATGAAGCTTTTCTCCTGTGTTTTCTCTTAGGAGTTTGATAGTTTTAGGTCTTATATTTAAGTCTTTATTCCATTTTGAGTTAATTTTTGTATATAGTGTAAGGTAAGGGTTTAACTTCATTCTCTTGCATGTGTATATCCAGTTTTCCCAACACTGGTGAAGAAACTGTTCTTTCTCTGTCAAGTGGT